ACTGTCCAGGCAAAACTCCCAACATAGCAAACTGTAATGCTTATGCTCTTCTTGATTAACCCAGTCGGAGCAGAACAGCAGCACGTTAAACCCCATTTCATTTCATCCCATTTTCGCTTGATCTAGAAATACGTTAGTTATCTAGTGAAGGAGAACAAAGTCTATATATGCATTATTTTATCATCACAATTTTATCATAGGACTATTTTTTCATTATCTGGTAAACAATATGTCACGTCCAAGGACGCTGCACACCGGGCTTGCTTCTCGACCTGACTTACACATTATAGAGATCTCCGATGAAGATTTGATATCTGCCACATCGACCCAATAATACGCATAGACTCCGTAACTAAAGAGGGTTTAAACAGTTAAATTTAATCCGAAGTAGCTAATTAATTGCCCCCCCCCCCCTCTAATCGACAACAGTATACAAAGAGTTTAGTCATTCAGGATAGTCATACATACGTGTCGTAATTTGTCAGATCCTGTTACTATGATAGTATACACGATATATTTTAATTGTCTTGATATAATATTATATAACAAAAATACCCGATCGACACAAACATCCATTCAAAAAATTGCTTAGCAGTGGGAGAAACCGGATGCAATCATTTATGGAGTGGAATACACAACACAATTCTAACTCTTAAATTGTAGTAATATACTTACTTCAATGAATGTAACTTCTTACAAATTATGGTATTTTGAATTTTAAATTCCACTCCATAACCACCGGGCTTAGACAGTAAATCTTTGGGATTATGTAAGGTCCGTTTTCCGTGTAGGCCTACGCGTTTTCGTCACGTTTCTGCGCGCGGTTTACGTTTGCAAACGCGTACATGCAAAACCGACCTTGGAGTTTGTATTCTTTTCAAAACAACACCGTCAATTTTTGTTAAGAAATGAAATGAAATGGTGTTTAACGTCCTACTGTTCTGCTCCGACTGATTTTTGTTAAAGATGTAATAAATTATATGCATTAAAGATACATTATGTAAGATTTAGATAAAGAGTTGGACGTTCTTGCTATAATAGTTCAAAAATAGATAATGCAAAACGAATATATTAAAAATTTCATTCAAATTACTTTATCACTGTTTGTAGTTTTCATGTGTGCATTGATTGTTTATTATCGTAACCACAGTACTGGTATATCCGAGACTCAGCCTCGCTTCTCCATTTTCAAATTATATCATTAAGTCTAATCTGTAGTTGTGAACAAAGAAAAACATATCCTACAAGACCACACGGAAGTAATAGTGTAAGAATACCTGGCCCCAAAGCTTCAGCCTGTCAAGCCTATAGGTAAATCCGGCTCTCATGCATGAGGCATAATTTCAAATTTAGTATTTTCTTTTTAAGATAAAAGTATGTCATTTTCAAAGAGAAATTTGAGAAATGACCATTTTATTGCATCATTGTTATATTTGAAAAGTTTTAAAAAATGAGTTGTTTTCAAGGATGAACTGTACGTAATGACCTACATCATTTCGCACGTAGGTCTTTTAGGTATATATCAACCCAGTCTAACTTCTTTATATTCAATGTTAAATTTGATTGATGTAGTCCACATATATTGAAAGAAACTTATCCTTTGATTCATATCAGTATTTATTGTTAAATTATAGACAATACAAGGTCGTACGAACAATATTCATGGGGCATGCATAAAGCCATAAACTATGTATTATGGTGACCTGATATATAGATAATGTATGCAGTGATGGTGGGGTTCTCAGAATTCATAAGCTTTGTGGTTTTTGTTTAGGGGGGTTGGGGGTAAAAAAATCCTAACACCGCACATTAATAACTCCTGTCTGTTCGAATATAATGGGCAGCTAAACAGTATAATTTATTTGATTGAATTATAATTTTTGACAATTTTTCTCGACAAAATGCGCTTTTGGTGAAAATGAAATTTGTAAATATTTACAAATTTGTTCAAAAATATGTTATTCATGCTTCTGAGAAATTGGATGAGATACGCCCCTGCCTTCATTTTCACAATGTCAAAAAATTATGATATGCGTTTCATCCACCGTCTTCATTAACCCAGTCGGAGAAGAACAGTAGAACATTAAACCCCATTTCATTTCATGTTTCATCCATTGACTGCTTTGTCTGGCATTTTCTCTATATATGATAATTCGAGGGGCGGATCCAGACCCCCCCCCCCCTGCTCGGCTACATATTTCTTTTTTTTTTGTAAATCAACACTTTTTATGAGAAAAGTTTCTCGGCCGTGTGCTTTATCCTTTATCGTCAGATGTGGGACAGGATGGACACTCAAAGCACGAGATAATGATATAGACATTATGTGATATCACAAATGCTTTGCATCCATGAAATTGAATCACAATGTCATTGTATTAATTCATAATAAAAATTGACGTCAAACGAGATGTTGAATTTCTCTGTTTAAAAGCTCAATGTGTTTGTATATACGCCACAATGACGATAGAGACCATGCGTGGGAGGGGGGGGGGAGAGATACATTGTCTCAGGAACCTGACAAACCCCCTCCTGCAAAAATTCCTGGATCCGCCCCTGAATTCTTAAATGTTTCAAAATAAATTTCCACCAATTGTATGCAGTCGTCGGTGCAGTCACAGTATCGGAAATGCATTGCAACATACGGAACATTGTGAGGGTGGCCTTCGTCATACACATCGAATGTTCCCATGTTAAATTTGTGTACGCCCAAATTGAAATGTGGTCGTATATTATCGTCACCTCGTCGGTTCGCCAGTTCGGCGTCCACAATTTCTGTATATATAGGGACTAAAGATATCACCCAATTGCTTTTAAATTTATACATACAGTGCTCAAGGTCATGAGTCGAAAACATCTATTCATTTTCGATAATTACTGTCAGTGTCATCATAGTCCTTGATCCCATTGAGGAATCGTGTGGACACTCTAAAGGTTGAAGTTATTATTCAGTTGACTTTAAATTTATACATTATACACAGTGTTCAAGGTCAGGAGACGAAGTAGTCCACTGATTTCCTATATAATTGCTGACAGAATTATGGCCCTTGATAACTTTGAACAATCTTACAAACGCTCAAGATTATTAATTTATTTTTCAAGTATCTACATGATAGATACGTAAAAGTGCCGTTGCGGTTCTACTCGACTTCTAAAAGTATATGTTACATCTAGGGCCGGATTGGGCGAGCGATCGCCCGAAGGGCCGGTCGGACAAAAACTGAAAAAAATAATTTTGTCCAATTCGTCTAAAAAAAACTTTTTCTGCTGAACATTATATGGGGGGGGGGGGGGGGTATTGGACCGGCCATGGAGCGATGATGATCATGTTGTATGTGGCCGGTGGCTTTAACGGACCGCCACGCCTGGAGTCTGGAATAGGCTGGTATAATAGACTTTCTGGGCCGGGTGTGCTGGGTGTGGGCTGGAATTCGGAATCCTGCATGATATGACGATATGATGATTTCACAGGTTGATGGTTGTAAATTACTTGCAGGTCGGGGTTTTGGCCTAAATTAATCGATTTATGAGATATACTATTTGACAGAGATTATAATCAGATATGCCACCAAATCGCATATTTGGGGTTCATTTTTCCAAATTTTCCCGGCGGAAAGCCCCCGGTCAGTAAAAGGGGCGGCTCCGACACGGGAGCCCGGGCCGGTGTCCGGCCCCAATCCGCCCCTGGTTACATCATTACAAGCTTAGGTAGATTAAATAAAATGAAATAGAGTTTAGCGTCCTACGTTTCTGAGCCGACTATGGGCTAATGCATTTTGCACACAGAGATCCATCTACTTCATAGTTCGAGAATAAGGAGCTAACTGTAGACAGTTTAGTATGATGGCTAATGAAGACGGCGACTGAAGGAACCGAGTCGAACCGTATACTTCAAACTGCCACACCGTCAGTTGCTCACTTTATTCCGATTCACATATTCTTAACCTATACATTCCAATAGTATATAAATATTGTAAATAGTGTCACGTAGGCCCATTAAATCATTTGTCATCCGTAACCACTGAACTATAAAAGTACTATATGTAGGATAAGTCTCCATATATGAACATAAAAATTATCGTTTCACCATGACTTGCAAAAATGGCTATAAATATAAAACTAGGAAATTAACAAATCCAGTCAGTCGCTAGATCCGTCTTGAGTAAGTTGACACATTAATGACATTGCTGTCTATAGTTTTCTGTTTTCATTTGGAAAGTGTTAGAGGCTCGCGCGAGGTTATATAGGCTCACTACACGTCAGTCAGCATTTCAGAGTGGGATATTTATTGATTATCTAATAACTTATTTTAATTTTATCAATGATATTTAATGCAAAACTTGCTTATCCCTGGAATACAGGCTAAAAAAAGGGCAAGATAGCTCTTATAAATTGGTAGAAATTAAATTTATTTTAAGAGTTTTAACATCTGGTAGACTAATTATTTATCGATGTGCGTACTAGAGAATATTTTGACTGTTTACTGATAAAATGTTTCGCGCAATTTTGTTTCAGAATAGCAGAATAATACGTGGATGGTAGCATCATGCATCATTTAAAACGTTAACCTATCGGACACGGGGCATGTTTGTTTTTAGTTACACAGAGTGTGTCTTTTTGGAAATAAGATTAAATTGAACTCGCTCAAAATAACTATGAAACTTCAAGCTTTCTTAAATAGTGTTAGTGCAGATCGACGGGACCCTGTATCTCATTTTCAGAATTTCGGGAACAATTACGCAAGTTTCTAACAGGCTTTCTTATGCGCATCACTGACATTGTTTATAGTGCACACGCAGAACTGACGACTAGGCCTTATGTGTCACGGTTCGACTTCCAAATTCTAAAACCTAACTAAATTGTATGGTTTGATCGCAGAATTGCGTATAAATATTCTTTGGCGCGAAATAACTCCATTTTTGGGACGATGTGGTTAGAAACCACTTCGCAGTGCCGAAAAGGACGCTTCCGGCGAATATTCTTACATCGAACTTTGACCGATGCAATAGTTTCAAGGCCGTTATTCAGTTTATCTGAATGATATTAGTCTTTTTTTCTTCAGACAGAACACAAGAAATCCAATAAACAGCAAGATGGGGAGCCGAGACAGAGCTGCCGAACAGATGAATGAGTTCAAGAAGCAACAGACGGTAAGTTAAAACGATAGATTGCACCAAACAAAACAATATGCGTCGATGTTAATAAAGTTTTGTAGGAGACGAGTTGTATAACTTATGCCTGAACAATCATAATGCCCCAAACTCGCTAGTCAAAAAAACATGAACAAAACTAAAACGTCTGTCAGATTGAAAGATATTGAAATTTGGTCATAGAACCTTTATCGTCTCCTGGAAATTTCAAGTCTGCTACCAAGCTGGGAGGTGCCAGGTGGAATAGTGTCCACTCCAAAACTTTTAGAGTTAGGCCTAGTAAAATCCCACTTAGTTTGACTTAGGCCAAAAAATCTGATGGAGAAAAATAAGGTTTAAACAGCTGGGGTCAAACATAAGATTGTTGATTCATTGGATTGTAAGGGTTTTTGTGGAATGACAATATTGGTTGGTGTGGAAATTTAAGGCTCCTATTCGTATCGACAATATCAGGTACAGTGTATAAATTCATGCACTGTCTGGGGCAATCCTTCTGGAGAACTGTCTTGTTTCAGTGTTTTTAATGTTTTCATTAATTAATACATGTCTGGCACAAAGTTGAAAATGTCTGGTCCTAGTTCAGGTAATAACCACAAGATAATTTAATACATTTGTAAAATATTCACTGGTCAGCTAGTGTAACTTTTCATCAGTAGCGACAATATTACAATAACATTGATCAAAATACATTATAAAAATTCATAAGCCACACCAACATTAAGTGCATAAAAATGAGCAGGTTTGAATAAAACTAAAATCATTATTTCTAAACCTGAGTGTAGCTTTTATTAACATCATTCATTCAATTTCATCCTCTCCATTTTATTTGTTCATAATCATCCTGTCATGTGTACGTGAACATGTCATGTGTACCAGATGCAGAAAGATAGACATAACACGTTCCTATAAGGTGACTTAATTTATTGTGGTAAAATAATTTGAAAAAAAGCCTTTTAATATCCTGTCTATCTTAATATTGTTTTTTTTTTTTTTATATCACATTAAACATAACAAAAATATACTGAGGGTATAATTATAACCATTACTATAATGCTTATCTCGATTATCATTGATAATGGTGGGATTAATTCTATTATTAAGTGATCAAGCCAATTATTATAGTGTTATACCCTTAAGTTGATCAACTGCTTAACCTGCCTTGGTTGACCTCTTTAATCTACTGATTTCCTTTTTTATCTTAATCCTGAAAGTTTCTGGTTTCTTTCTTCCTTATTGGACATTTTTAATCCCCAGTGCAAAAGTTCAGTGGAGCTAACTCAATCTGATACACATATTGTCTATCTTGAAAAATGACTCACTATTTCTTCGGAATTAAATTTAAATGAACTACATGTATATGCTTACGTTTTCGAAAATCTGTTTTAATGATGTCTTATGTCCGTCCATTCATGTTATTAACCTTCATCGATGCATCGCGGCTGCAAGTGTTGATGTTTGCTCCAGATACATTGATGCATTAAAATTTATTTGATATCAACAATAATGTTCATAGTAATCATAGTTTGATGTTATAATTTAGTCTCAAGAAGTAGATATAATCTAATGGACCACCTATTCTCATTGTTTGCTTGCGGATAGCATCGTGTCACATGACTTAACAAACATCACATAGCCTTAGTTAATTAGACAAAGATTGTATTATAGTAAGAACAGTCTGGTTAATTATGACTATAGAAAACCCGGAACAAAGAACTTACTCCAAAACCCAGAAGAAAGAACTTACTCCAAATCAGCTATAAGAACAAAATAAATCAAATCAACCCAATTTTTTTTTTTTTTTTTTTGTTGTATTATTTATTATATTGTTCTAGAATCCGGAAGTGATGACTACTGGAACAGGCGCTCCTATAGGGAGCAAAACGTCCACTTTGACCGTTGGACCCCGTGGCCCGGCTCTTCTTCAAGATTTTGTCTTCACAGATGAGATGGCTCATTTTAATCGTGAGAGAATACCAGAGAGAGTTGTCCATGCCAAGGGATCAGGTAAAAATCTGAATTTTGAATAAATGGGAATTTAATATAAATTCAAAGTTTTGAACAATCCTTGTATAGTATGACAAGAGTTCTAAATGCAGGTGTTCTGCACATTATAATATCAGTCAATGGTCTGTGAATCACCTGCCATTTTGCCATCTGAAATTGTTATTATCTAGGCAAACTAACTGTTCTTTAAAAAGATAGGATTTAACTGTATCAGCAAATTGTTCGAAACTTGTTTGCCCTTATTGTTTTTTCACTCTAGGTGTATGTGTTGACCTCTCTTTGGATTTGGTCACCTTTTGATATTAGACCAATGTTTTATAGAGGATGGGTCAGTCATGCTCATAACAAAGGACATGTGAAATATGGTCTGTCCTCCGTCCATGTTCAGTGAATGTTGACAGAGAATTGGTCAGTCATGCTCAGAACAAGAGACCTGTGGAGATAGAAAGACATATTGACTAAATTGATTGTCTTTAAACCATCTTCTTAGTTAAAAGAATAATGTTTGTATTTCTGATTATTTTTTCAGGTGCTTTTGGATATTTTGAAGTAACTCATGATATTACCAAGTATTGTAAAGCTAAAATATTTGAAAAAGTTGGAAAACGTACCCCATGTGCTGTCAGGTTTTCAACTGTAGGTAAGTAATTTATGTGACATATTTTAGTCCTGTTGCATACATCGTATCAACATGGCAAAAGTTCGGTGTACACATCGGCGTGCACGTAAAAGATCCCTTGGCAGTTGGAATTCGATATAAGAGTACGTCGTAGTGCCGCTGTCTGAGCAAATTTCCTTTACAGCACACTGCATGGCGTATACCCATCTTCATTTGCCCAGTCAGAGCAGAACAGTAGGACGTTAAACCCCATTTCATTTTATTTTCTGTTAGTTGTTCTTCTGTTCGAGGGTTTGCAGATAGGACTATAAATTCTGATCGAGCTGAGAAGTGACGTAGACACGGTGGATTTGCATTACCCCTTTCGGTTTTCGAGTTATACTACTTCCTGTTTGATGGAATTCCCTGTTGGTGTTTATTGAACCAATAGATAAATCTTTTAATCTTATCCTGTTAATGTTTTTCAGGTGGTGAGAAGGGATCTGCCGACACAGCCAGAGATCCAAGAGGATTTGCTATGAAATTTTACACGGAAGAGGGCAACTGGGATTTAGTTGGAAATAATACCCCCATCTTCTTTATCAGAGATCCTATACTGGTTAGTCAATATTTATATATTTTAAAAGTATTTTTTAAATTGAAATATTTCGGCTCATACGTAACAAAATTAATTACGAGACTGTGATGAATTAACTCTTTACTAAAAATAATAGAATCCCTATAACAGTTGATAAAGGGCTGCCATCCAAAACCTGTCCTGGAATGAACACTTTCAGACCTTCTTCACAGTCTTATCAGTGTTTTGCTAAGGTATTTTATAATTGAATGTAAAAAAATTAGTGGTGTGCAAAAAACATAGATTGTATCTTTTATTTTTTTTAGTTTCCCAGTTTTATTCACACACAAAAGAGAAACCCTGCTACAAATTTAAAGGTAAAGAAATTTTGTGTCTGAATTTATTTATGAATTATTTTTTCTCTCCCTTATCACTATATCATTAGTCACATTTCATCCTTATCATTGATCAAATTCCCTTTATATAAGGGAGGGGGTGTGTGGATGGCTGAATGGTTAGCAGCTGTATCAAAAAGTCTGTCATTGAGTCAACTGGCGTGGTTTCGAATCCCCGGTTGTACGTGACAAGGAGTAGGGTTGCCTTCCAACCTCGTGGGTTCTCTCCGGGTTCTCCAGTTTCCTCCCACTGCTAAAGACCCCTATGCGCAAGCGAATTATGGAAATAAAATTGAACCATATATTAATCTCGAAATGACCTAGTTTGTGTCGAGTGGACGTTAAACCCCATCTCTCTCTCTCTCCCTCTCCCCCCTTTATATAAGTTTCCCAAAAGCTTGTTTCCATATAAAGCAAGGGAAATAACTCTTGTTTAGGATAATGATAAAAGATCACATTATGAATGGACTAAATCTCTTGAACTTGGATCATTGATACAGTCACTTATGTATGTTGTTATAGTCATCTTGTACTGGGATCATGTCCCCTTTGTTTTTTTATTTACAATTTGATATAGTTGCCTCAAGATTCCAACTTTAATGAACTATACATATATCGTAAAAGCTTAAGTCAAGTCCATTTCATCGATAGAAGTAAAAGGTAAAAACACCAGAAGATGTATCAACTATATTGATTAGAGGATACGTGCACATGGTAGACCAATGAAAACAATTGACCTTAATTGCTACAATATGGCAGTGGTTAATAAGCTCATTTGTTAACACTGATTAGTTGCATTTAATGAAATTATTGAATATGATATGATTTATCTCTTTAGGATGCTGATATGTTTTGGGATTTCATCACCTTGAGACCAGAAACTTCCCATCAAGTGTCTTTCTTGTTTTCTGATCGAGGAACCCCTGATGGTTACAGACACATGAATGGATACGGAAGTCACACCTTTAAACTCATCAACAACAAAAACGAGGGAATTTACTGTAAATTCCATTTCAAGGTAATTAAGACACATTGATTCTAGATCTATATCTCAGTCCCAATAATAGAGTAAAAGGTGTTGTTTTTGAGGCAGGGTGTGCTTACTATCTGAATACTTCTTATATACTTGAACAGTTCACATTGCTCACAAGTAGGAAGTTAAACCCCATTTCATTTCTCATCACTAGGGGCGGGAAGGAGTTAGGGGGGAGGGGAGCGGTGAGTGATTTCATTTGACGTATCTAGGTGGTGTGGGAGGTCGAGTTGTCTAAGGTGTGTGCTATCTGTTGCAATTTAGAATGAATAATGATCATGGTCATCACCTGGAATTGAATCTGTGTTGGTTCACGTGAGCATGTGCGTTTGCTCTCCTCTAACATGATGATCTGCTATCTAATACAAGCTTTTGCCTGTTCAATCATTGAATAAAATATTGTTGACTATTAATATAATTATGTAATTGATATATTTTGTTATCCAGACTGATCAGGGTATTAAAAATTTCTTTGGTGATAAAGCTGGAGAACTAGCAGGAACTGATCCAGACTACGCTCAAAGGGATCTTTATAATGCTATCAGAGATGGGAACTTCCCATCATGGTCAGTCAAAGTACAGATTATGACTTATGATCAAGCTGAAAAATTTAGATGGAATCCGTTTGATCTAACAAAGGTAAGCTTTTAACTCATGCATATTAAGAACAAAATAATATGATATTCAAATCGTGAGAAGATGTATCACGATACATCAATTCAACGATATATCATGCTCCCACCAATCTGATTAAAATACAGATCTATATTTCTTTTCTTTTTTTTTTTTTTATACTTTCGGCAACCTCCACTACATGAAGATCTGACCAGTTGAAGTGGAAGGTCGCAACAGGGGTCATACGAGCAGCTTTTGACCCTATGACGTCAAACCTTTGAATAACCAATCAGCGTTGATGTTTGTAATGGGATACCCACAGTTCCATGCATCGCACGCCAAGGACTCGCTGTAACAGACTGTTTCCTTGGCTAATCCCTCACATCATTTGAGAATGTGGGTTATATAACAACTCTTCTAGATCCTAGTGTAGTAAAGACAAGTAAAAACAAAATTTAGAACTATAAAAAACAAAATGAAATAGGATCTGTGTTTTAATCTAGATTGTGTCACTCAGCACTAGTATCAACTAGTTTAGTCCTAGTGTCAAATTATTGAACAGTTTGATAATTTTTTCAGATATGGCCACAGAGTGAGTTCCCCTTGCATCCTGTTGGTAAAATGGTGTTAAACAGAAATCCTAAAAATTATTTTGCTGAAGTTGAACAAATTGCGTTTTCACCAGCTCACATGGTACCAGGTATTGAAGCCAGTCCAGATAAAATGTTACAGGTGAGCTTACCTGTATATCCTAACAAAAACATTAAGGCACTGGCTCACTAAACAGGGTTCCTGGTTTTGATCATGGTATTGGCTGTCAAAGCCCCTCGGGCTATTCTATTGTGGTTTCTATTTGTCAGTATGGCGGGGTTGGATGGCCGAATGGTTAGCACGTGCGCGCTGCGCTGTATCATATGGTCTGTCATTAAGTCAACTGGCGGGGCTTCGATTCCCCGGTTGTACGTGACAAGGAGTAGGGTCGCCTGTCCAACCTCGTTGGTTTTTCTCCCACTGCTAAAGACCCCTACGCGCAAGCAAATTATTGAAATGAAATTGAACCATGTGTTAGTTCCGAAATGACCCAGTTTGTGTCGAGTGGACGTTAAACCCCATTTCTCTCTCTCTCTCTATTTGTTTGTGGTTCAGGGCAGAGGGCCTAGCAAAGAACTGTGTCTAGTCATTCAGATGGGCCAAAAATGGAGATCAAACATACAAGTTGATGTGCACATAAAAGTTTCCTGAATAAATTACTGTCTTCCTTTATTCGATGGATAAACGGATATCATCAGTCAATTGAAATTAGGATATTTTAACTACGGTCAGTATCAGAAAATGCAGTAGCCAAAATAAGATGATATGACACCACGGCATTTCTTCATATTTAAAACACAAATGATTGTTTTTATACGGTGACATTGAAATGTGGTCGTATAATGTTGTCGCTCCATAGCAAACTGGAAATCATGAGATGAAGTATATACACTGTGGACTTACCTGGCAAGCTATCTTTTAATAATGTACATACAACAATGGCTAAGCAAACGCACCAATTTTCTAAAATCTGTCTATAAGACCACTGAATAAAATCTGACTCTGATAAAGCTTACAAACATGCAGGATAACTGATTTCTGACTAAATAATATCATATTTGAACTATAAATGCCATTTTCTTCTTAAAACGTTAAACACCATTTCACTCAGAAAGCAGTTGCACTGTATGCTTTTAAGCATAATCAGTTGCTTTTTAAACAGAGATTTTAGAAACTTTGTGTCTTTGTCTAGGCGAGGGGGGTATGTAAATTCTTTAAAGATACTTTGCCAGGTAACAAATGCCCTGATTTATTAAAACAAGATTGTCATTTTCTTCTTCAGGGTCGATTATTTTCCTATTCGGACACCCACAGACATCGTTTAGGTAGCAACTATCTACAGATTCCAGTCAATTGTCCTTATAATACCAAAATACGTAATTACCAGCGAGATGGACCACAATGTGTAGATGATAACCAAGGTAGGTAACTCTAATAAACCTAAACAAGAAACTTTAGATGGGGTTTTTGTTATATACTTCGAAGTTTTGACACAAATTTGATTGCATTTGACAAAATTTATATGGTTTGCATAGGCCTTTATTTATGGTCTAGATGAGAGACAATTTGATAACCTGAGGTTTAAGGACACTAGAGACAGTATCACAGCACCAGACAAACAGACTCAACACAAACTAAGTCATTCTGGGACTGATATGGTACACTTGTATTTCAATAAAGTACTTTCACGTAGGGGTCTTGTTGGAGGAAACCTGGTGAACCCAGAGATAACCAAACAAGGTTGGACAGGTGACCCTACTCCTTATCATGTGCAAGCTTGGGATGGAAACCACGCCACTCGACTCAATGACAGACCCTATGATCTAAAGCCCATGGGGGGTTGGATGGCTGAATGGTTACCATAAGGCCTGTCATTGAGTCAACTGGCGTGGTTTCGAATCCCATTGTTTAACCCCTCCCAACCCCCTTTCACAAATTGGACAGTTCATGTTATGAATTTTAATTTACACAATTCATATAATATATATAGTTAAGTATCATTCATGTAATTTTGTGTATTTCAGGTAATGCTCCCAACTACTTCCCAAACAGTTTCAATGGACCTTTAGACAATCCCAAACAACTGGAATGCCCCTTTAAAATATCTGGAGATTGTCAGAGATACAATACTGCTGATGATGATAATTTCTCACAAGTTGGAACATTCTGGAGAAAGGTGAGGCAATTTTATTTATCTCCTATAAGTATCCCTATAAGTGTGACTTAGAACTGTAGGCTAATAAGCAGTCCCCCATCTCATAAGCCAAATAGAGCCGCGGTGGCTAAGTGGGTAAGACACTGCCTCGATTCCCTGGAGATCACAGGTTTGCTCCCGGTGTTGGCCGAAAAGTTCATCAGGATTTTCTGTAAAGGTTCCCCCCTTGTCAGTGATGCAGGTTGGAGGGCCTGACAAGGACAGCTGTCTAGTCATTTGGATGGTACGAAAAACCGAGGACCTGTGTTCACATTGGCATGCACGTAAAAGATCCCCTGGCAGTTGGAATTCGATATAAGAGTCCATCTTCATTAGCCCAGTATAGGAGCAGAACAGTAGAACGTTAAACCCCATTTCATTTCATTTCGATAAAAGAGTAGGCCATAGCACTACTGTTCGTGCAAAATTTCCCTCATAGCACACTGTATGGCGTATACCCGACTTCATTAGCCCAGTCGGAGCAGAACAGTAGGATGTTAAACCCCATTTCATTTCATCTCATAAGCCAAATATTTATATATACTTATGATAAAGAACTGAAATGTATATTGTTATTAATATAATTGGTGATAGGTTGAATTATTTCTTGATGTATGTACAGTACATAGAAATTAATTATTTTCTGTTACGTTTCAATACAAATTTTTATCATTCCAGGTTTTAAAGCCCGAAGAAAGAACTCGTTTGATTGAAAACATGGCTGGACATCTGAAAGATGCTCAAGAGTTCATCCAAAAACGAGCTGTCGAAAATTACAGTAAAGCCGATGCTGATTATGGAAAACGTCTACAGGAAGCTTTGAGTACCTATAAGAAGAAAAGTCAGGTAATAAACGGAAAGGCCAGATAAATTTAATTATACTATTTGATTAAATTTCAAAATGTATGGATCTTAAAATTACATAGCTGAGAAAGAACAATATAATTGAAGAAGATGGTTATATACAATAGGTGTGTTGAGAAATATTCAAAAATGTCAAAGTAAATTAGTTTTAGTATTTATAAATTGAATCTTTAATAAGGATGTCAATTGAAATAGTTAAATTCTATTCAGTATTTACAAAGGTATAATGAATTGAGCAATTGGCAACATTCGTAATTCTCTGCCAATCATATAAACAAGTCATCACCTTTTGATCGGCCTCCCTTTTTATCCTATTGAATCCAAACTGTTGATTAAATCATATGAAATTTTGACGTCCATCAATCAATGCACAGTTATCCCAAGAAGAAATATGTCAAGTTTCATGTTGATCATACTTGAATTAGTGGAGCCTTAGTGTTTATTCAAAGAGCATCGCCCCCAAGAAGAACAAATATGTGTATTTGCGATGCAGTAGGACGTTAAACCCCATTTCATTGCATTTCATTGTATTTGCGATGGTGGACTATTTTCAAAATTATGAAATTATTGACTTTTGAGATGATCTTGGCTGAGAGACAAAGTTCTCACTTGACAGTGGGCTGTGAAAAATGGTCAAGAGAAACATCTGTGTGTTTTCGTCAATTGAATAAATATTTATATAAAATGTTTATGGCAGGGGAATGGTACAATTAAAGCAGTATAGAACACAGACAGTGGACAATGTCATAACCATTAATATAATACTCACTGATAGTATTAACCATATTTACATAGAGAAAGATAATTATGTAGAAATTCATTCTATATTCTTTCAAATTCATGTAGAAATTCATGAACAAGTATTTTGTTAATTTTACTGTATTTGTACATAAATAAATGATTTATTTTATCTCGTTATAATATATATATATATGGGTCATAAATAATTTTTATTTTATTTTCATTATCAACTGTTTGTTTGTGTTTGTTGTTTTTTATTTGCACTTTGTTTGTGTTTGTTGTTATTTTATTTACCTTTTATCCCACATTTTCTGTTCTGGTCACAAATTGGTGTAGGATAAAAATTTGATGGCAACCACAAATAGAGAGAGAAATGGGTTTTAACTAGGTCATTTCAGGACTAACAAATGGTTCAATTTTATTTCAATAATTTGCTAGCGGGTAGGGGTCTTTAGCAGTGTGAGGAACCCTGAAAAACCCAATGACAAACCTTCTGAGCCAACGCGCACATGTTAACCATTCAGGCCCCACCCCAGGCTTAAATACTTTCTACTGGTATGCCAATTTTTTTTTTGTTGGTTTTACTATGAAATGCTTGGTGTGAAATACCTTGCTACCCAAATCCTCGGTCAGTATTTTCCAAAATTTGTTAGAGGGTATAGGAGTGGGCGGGGGGATCGCAGCGAAAAAGAGCAACCTTGTTGGAAAAAAGATAAAGGAAAATTCATTATGAAATTGTTTAACGCACAATAAATTTCAATGGCTTATATATCAGTCAATTAAAGCGGAAATTTCAAATTTTTAAGTTATATTTTTAAAATTTATTAAAATAAAGCCTTAAAATAGATGGTATCCATAAACAGTCCTACCTTGTTAAAGAATAATCCTATTAATCCTATAATTCACTATTGCCAGCTGAGAAATTGGCAAAAATATCATTTTCAACTTCAAATTCCAACGTTGAGGAAATGGCTGACCATTGTTTTCAATAGGAAAACAAGGGAGGTAATTGTGTTGTTATTTCCTGTGTAAATGAGTTTTAAGTGTGAGAATGACACCTATGATTGTATAATAGTGAGTTGATAACCTATTGAGCAAAAGACATAGAAATAATTATGTTTTGACTTTCTTAGAAAATATGAAATTCTCGCTTTAATAATAGGAATGGTGATTATCTTGCTATGGGTTAATATACCACATTTTATTAGGATTTATCAAATATTGATATGATAATTCCTAACGCCCCTAATATGGGAAATCTCACTGAACCGAGTAAATGCAGATGTGGAGGTCCTCAGAGATTTGTAAAATGTATTGGGTCCATGAGTAGAAAATGGTCGGGAACCCCTGTCCTAGGTCATTCAGAAACTGGATGTGCAACTGTGAAATAATTTTGATTCATCAGCCCAAGTTAAAATGAATTCTGTATTGGAATTAAAATTTTGTGTGTTAAAAGATATTATTTATTGGAAAAAACAACCCAAAAAGAACAATCTAAATAACTCCCAGGGCTATTTTGTGATGATCATATTTTCTCCTGCCAACTTTGTGACCAGAAAGAAAAGGATTAGCTTGCATGGGTTTATTTCGGCTAAAGTTTGCCTTGAAAATCTTTCAATTTTGCTTTTCCCCAGCTTTAATTGCTCTTTATGTATAACAAATAAGATCCTACTGAAACAACAATATACAATCGTACTTCAGGACATATTATAATTAAAATCTTGTTAAAACACAGCATAAACAATCTTACATAATACAAATAATATAAATAAACTTTTGTTAAAACTTTGCAATATACAATTGTACATGCGTACATAATGATATAAATACAATCCTATTAAAACACTGCAATATACAATCGTACATGCAGACATATAATATTATAAATAAAATCATGTTAAAACTTAGCAATATACAATTGTAAATGCAGACATATCATAATATATATAAAATCGTGTTAAAATTGTAAATGCAGACATATCATAATACAATGTATATATAAAATCGTGTTAAAATTGTAATTGCAGACATCTAATAATATACAATAATACAAGCAGACATATTATAATTTAAATAAACAACATGTTTTCTCTGATCATCACGCAAAAAAATCCAAAATAATTATCCTACATTTGGAATATAGATGAAGGCAGTAGATAGTTTGATTAGAATATAAATATCTAATTCTTATTAAGGGTGGGTGTAGGGGGTGAATGGTCTAATGTGTTCGTTTTGGGTTATAAAGTCTGTTATTGAGTTGAGTGGCGTAGTTTTGACCACAATCTTGTATGTGAAAAGGAGTAGGTTTCTCTGCTCACCCTCATGGTTTTTCTCCGGTTTCCTTCCACTGCTACAGACTGCTATACACAAAGAATTATTGGAATAAGATTGTACCATGTGTTAGTCCTGAAATGATCTATAGGTAATTTGTGATCAGTGGAGGTTAAATCCCATTTCTCTCTCTCTCTCTCTCTCTCTCTCTCTCTCTCTATAGACCTCCCTTTCATCCCATGATAATAGACATTTTTTCAAGACACAAAAAGGTGATCAAACAGATGTCAAGAAGACTGTGATTTGAACGATTATGAAATAACTTTTACCGTCCGTCATTCGACCTCCGTGATCTGTAAATGTTGAAGGACGCTCCTTCACTCCCCACTGCACCCGCGCCCCTATTGCACTGTTTATGTCATCTTAAACCCTATTAAGACCTATATTGTTGATCTTATGCAATATTTTTACCTGAATTCCACCAGATATGATTGAATCATCATATGTATCAAACAAAATATTAAACTACAAAAGATTAGTACCTGATCGGAAATCTATGTGTGTGGGTGGGAGGGGAAATAAATCTGTAAAATAATTTATGTAGAATAAATTATTCGATATATGAATTGGTAGGTGGATTTTCTCAAAGGTACCTGGCACTATTGATATTATAAAATATGTTAATAAATCAATGTGATTGAATGAGACCGAGTCAAGGCTACATCCTACATTTACATAAATACTTAACCCTTTAGCAGCTGGACCTCCTGAAACTGCTGCTCCCGCTAGTGCATGTGAATAGCTGTGAACTATTTATAGATATAGTGCAACTTACAGTATGAAATAACTGTGAAACCACTCTGGAAAATCTATTTTAGAATTGCATATAATATTTAATTCAGGTTCTCCATCTTTATTAGTTACTATGGGTTAATATATTGCTGTCTGTGTGTATGTTTGTGTCTATGGGTCACCTATAGGCTGCGATTCTTAATGGATTGTCTTGAAACTTTACATACTTATTTCTTATACCCTAAGGATGATCCCTATTGTTTTTGGGGCATGCCCAACCCCCAGGGGCAGAGCCAGGCTCATTTGTTTGTCGTCTTTAGGCAGCATTTCTTAACAGATCATCTTGAAATTTTGCACACTTATTCCTTATACCCTAAGGATCATCCCTATTGTTTTTGTGTCTGTATGTCGCCTACAGGTCACAATTCTTAAAGGATCATCTTGAAAACTTTTGATACTTATTCCTTATACCCTAAGGATGACCTCTATTATTTTTAGGTGCATGTCCGACCCCTTGGGACAGAGCCAATTATTTTGGTGCATGCCTCGACCCCCAGGAATGTGGACGTATATTGCAGCGGTACCGATGCTCATGTTTTAGACATTACTGTTTGGTGCAGACACAATAAGATTACTGGACAGTGTTACATAAGTTATGTCCCCTTATGATATTGTGATAACAATGTGCTAATATACCCCGAGTCGACTTCAATCTGTTTCACAGGGATTAGGGACTTTGAAATTGCAATGAAATAAAAAGGCTTTTAACATTCTGTTTTGCTGAACCACCCAGGCTAATAGAGACAATCATATGCCATGCAGTGTGCTGTGAGGAAAATTTTGCCATGATGGTGTTCAGTGATATTTGGGCTATGTCAGATATTTTGTTATTATTACAGTAATGTAATTGTATATATCATTAGTACGTATCCCCTGATTAATTGTACTGTTTCTGTTGTGTTCCAGTCTCTACTTGTTTTGGTTCTATTTTTTGTGCAAATATTTTACACATAATGTCTACCAAGAAACATTTTTGTTGTTATTTTGGTATCACATTTCCACCTGCCAATTTCATGGCCATGTTGGTGTGAGAAAGGAAACCACAGAGCCTTGTTACTAATATTAATTGTTGTCCCAAGTCCGTCCATCCGTCTCTCTCTCTCTCTCTCTATCTCTCTCCCCATCACAATTTGATTGGTTGACTAAGTTTTTGGGTTAAGTTATGTATAGATAATTAATTTGATTGCTCGATGCTTTACTAAAAGATAAATGTTCAATTAATTAATGTGTGTCATAAGTTAAGACTAAGTAATTTTTATTCCAAGTATAGCTGTCTTCATTTATTTTATGTGTCATTTATTTTAAGATTGAGATGGGGGACAGCAGCCTCACTGTTGGCTTGTTGTTATATGTATATCCCTTATTAGTGCTAAATTTGCCTATTGCAGATATTTCTTAAGGCCTCGAATGTTTTCTAAATTATTAATTAGACATTAATTAACTTATCCAGGCCATAATTAACTCTCGATGGCATCGGATTTCTCTGATATTAAATAGATTAGAACAGTTCAGTCGTATTTTGATTTAAGCTAAAATTGGAGGAGCGAGACTTAGCTTCGAACAACCAGTATGGTGGTTGAAATTATTGCACACGTCTTGTGAAACTTTCAAAGGCTAATATCTTCGCTCGCAATAGAGTAATTTGATAATTGGATTGAAATTTTCAAATTATTCCTTTTACATTATCTATTTTCGAAATATTATAGCAAGAATACCTAGCTTTTTATCTAAATCTTACATAATGTATCTTTAATAGGCTTGTTGTTATATGTATATCTCTTATTAAAATTTAATAGGCTTGTTGTTATAGGTATATGCCTTATTAAAATTTAATATTGTTTGTTTATCTTCAGGATGGTGTACCTGCCAATTTGTAAACAGAGAGACAGAATACCAACAACTGCAATGGTTCCTTGAGGAAAAGTGCATCAGTTCCAATCATTGATGAAATTTTTAACAAATTTAAAAAATAATTTGTGATCTTTTCTTGCTTGCTCAAATATTAAGCCATGTATAGAGAGATAGAGTGAGTTTATTTCCTGTCAACAAGAATTATGATTATAATGCACTTAGTTTCTTCTTATTGAAAATGATTTTACCAAAATATTTATAAATTTCATTTGTTCTAATCAGATTTGATGAAAATATTTGAAAAATCATAATATTTATTTATTTTGTTTTTGAGAAATATATGTTGGTTAGTGCTACAAATTATTAAGCTTGTGGGTTACATAGCTCTGATCCTCTAGCCAACTTAGTTCAGAGAAAGAATATAACTTTTTGAACTGGGTTTTAGTCCCTGCCTCTCTCTCATCAGCCCTGACAGACTTTAAAAATTCATACCGGAATGTGTGTACTTTTCATTCCACGGACTAAAAAAATCAAAAAATACTGATCAATGCATTTCTTAATTGAAGCTAATCATATACATTCTCCATAGGCTGATTTTCTCTAAGATGCAATTATTTTGCTGGGATTTTTGTGGGGGAGGCTTCCCAACCCTGCACCCCCTCCTTGAATATATTGGCACCGCCACTGAACGGTAAGTTCAAATCTACTGGATCATTAATTTCATATAAAAGAGAGTAATATAATATGTGTTTTGAGAAATAATTACATGGAATTTGAAACAAGATTCGTGATCTGGCAGTGGTGTAAATATTTTTAATAAGGTATTAAATGACATGAACCTAATTGTCTGGAAGTTGTGAAACTAGAGATAAATTTTGAAAAGTTTGAACAATTTTCCTGCCCTACATATATTATTAATTTTAGCACAAATCTAAAATTTTCTTGATTCTGATTGAAACACCCCTCTAAATTTGAAACAGGTAGTGTTTATCCCCTTAATATATATTTACCAATACTCTATATAAAAACCTTCAGAAATTCAACAATTTCTCATCACTTAATGTCTTTATTTTTGGGAATATGTTGATTATATACAGTTAAAAAATGAGGGGCATTTGGTGACAAGGTGTGGTCTTTTCGAGTCAATTGGCGTGGTTTCAATTCCCAGTTTGTACGTGACAAGAAGTAAGGTTGTCTGTACAACCTCATGGATTTGCACCAAGTCTTCTGGTTTCCTCCCACTACTAAAGACACCTACGTGCAAGCAAATTATTTAAATAAAATTAAACCATCTGTTAGTCCCGAAATGATCTAGTTTGTGTCAAGTAGATATTAAACCCCATTTCCAAACAGCCTACCTGCTTAAAGGGTTCATTTCAGACTAAAAGGACCATGTATTGTGGCCAGAATAGCTGAACAAGAAAGAAATTGTTAAATTCTTTAATAATGTTTTTGATTAATGTTTAAGTGTTGTGTGATATTTTTACCTGTATCCACTGTGTAATTCAGGGAAAAATTGTGTATGATTGATGAAAATGATGTTTTGTTTAATTGAGATTTGTGCAATGAATATAATTTGTAAAATATGTAAAATAATTGACAGTATTGTTACGAATATTTAGTATATATTATATACATGGATATTGTTGAAATGATGACAATGGTAAATATATTAAAAGTAATATACAAAACACTGTGGAATATAATACAAGATTGTGACATTGAAATTGAAGATCAATCCATGATGAAATAAAATAAGTAAAATCTTTATTGAGGTCTTGTTGAACTTTTAGACCGAAAAGCTCAAACATCTGATAGGAACCAATAGTGGCATGGCCAGGGGAGTATTTACCTACTTGTGGGCCCCCACATGGCCTACTATGCCTGTTGGTAAATCTGGAACTGGGAGTGGTGACAACTGATTTTGCACAAGGAACAAGATCCCGTAGGGGCACAAGAAGTGGGGCTGTTACTTGAAATTTTAATGGTTATCAATATAGGGAAACTGTAACGTTTATCAATATAGCGAAAAGTAGGGCCATTACTTCAAACTTTAACGTTATCAATATAGGGAAAAGTGGGGCTGTAGTGAGTAAAACAGACCACATGTAAAACGTCCAAATGGTTACCTCCAGTATTTTCTGAGAAAAGTTCTTTAAAAGCTTTTTGCTTCAATCTTGAATCATATTTCAAGACGAACGATAAAGGCACAATATTATTTTTGGATCAGGAGCTCAAAGTAAAATGTTTTTATTTGCAATTCAACTAGGTTTATAATATAATGTCATGTAAAGTAATTTCATAAACTATGTGTAAATGAAACGAAATGAAATGGGGTTTAATGCACTAGTTTCTGGACGTACCGGGGGAGCCGTGGTGGCTCGGTCAGTAAGACGCAGGTTCACTAAACAAGAGGTCTCCTGTCTGCTCCTGGTGGTGGCCAAGAATATTCCTTGGAATATGCAGCATGGTTCCCCTTGTCATTGGTGTATGGAGGACACAAGTAACAAGAACTTGTTTACTTGTGACCCATGATAGCTTGCCCAAACACCCCCCACCCCCGCGAGGGTCAAAGAATTTTTATTGTTGGCAATTTCAGTTCTAAAGATATTTGTAATTGGATCCATTTTGAACGACAAAAAACGACATTTTTACAATACTTGATGACTGCCCTAGTGGTTCCGGGGGCCCATGTCTTACAGACTAGCTTGAAAAGGTACTGAAGAGACACCTTGCGAGAGACATTAATGCCAATTTGAGCGCTACAATATTGGAAGTGAATTCATTTTGGGTAAATCTGTTCCTGTGATCAGTGTGATGAATGAAAACGGATCTAGTTTATCGGCGGATGGAACAGTCTTTCTCATCGTATAGGATTCATCCATCATACGACAAACATATCACACCTGCCAACAGAGTACCAAACACACCATATTACAAACTGGTCGTTGATTACAAATCTGGTTTATACACACTCTGTATTGTTTAATAGTCGAGAGCGTGATATTAAATAATATATTGTAACAACAAGAGGGCCGTAGGCCCGAGTGTTTTTACAATATATTACGCAATGTCGTAAGCTGGAAACCATTAAACGACTTAAAATACAGACACTCCGCACGTAACGCGAGTCCAATATTTCACTAGTATAAATAATGTACGATTGGCAAGTTACCCGTACTATTATTTGAAATAATGGTACACCAACATGAAAGGGTGACGTCACATCTGTATATTAAATAACTATTAGTCGTAGTTAGGAGATATTCAGTGCCCTCACAGCAGGGCAAATGTGACGCCCCCCCCCACCTTTGCACATTGTAACTGCTTTGTTCAGTGCCTGTGCTCAGTTGATTTTTTTTATGATTAAAGAAATTTTAAAATACAATCTTTATACTTTTAACACGTTATCTAAATAACTATTTATTAAATCAAATTATATGTAAAACTTTTATGTTTATTTCCCCCTCAACTCTCCATTTGATCGCAAAAACCCTATATCTTGGAAAAATCATAATTCTACCCTCTCTATTTGCTGAAGTATAAACTAGTTTAGAGGAAGCGAAGGCTATCTTGACCTCCAAGGAGGCTAGTCCATAAATATCCAAAGGGTCCCCATTTAAATATTTCTGGTATGCACTTGGATAATTTGCTGCCCCCATGAAGTGTGACCCCGGCATATGACCCCCTCAGTCCCCCCCCCCCCCCACTATGTGAGGGCCCTCGGATATATTTTTTCTGGCACTGGGGGCGGCAGGTGTGGGATCCGGTTACTCGCCAGGAGCGTGTACAGGAATTTAAACCGGGTCATACAATGGCTTGAGTACAGAAACGGCACTTCCAGACAAGATACAAATGACTAGCGTGCTTTTATGCGAACTTAATAGAGACAAAGAACGAGAAGATACTCCATGTATTTGTCAGATAGGGGAACTACTTGCCACAAACATGTGACTAACGGATCCAGATTGACAGATGAAGATATCTCCTTGCTTACTAAAATCCAAACCACCAAAAAAATCCACCGGTTTAGAAGAGGGTTGTCAATACTGGAGCAATTACCAAATAAAGTTTCAGAGAGGGATCCTGAAGATGAGAAGGCATCTGTCCAAGATAAGTGCCACCAGTGGCCCTGATGTCGAAATATTTTGCTTGATCAATTGTAAGGTGTCTTGGAGAAGGAATTGGCACTAAATGGTTGAAAGAACGGATTTGTTGTGAAGTTAAAAGAGGGGAGGCCTTTTCATCTGTCAGAACTCGAGATAAGAGGAATTCAGCTTCTATCAATACCAAGCCAAATATTCAGCCGAGTGAATTCTGGACCAAACTTTTACGATTGTCGAAAATTTTTGACAGTCTGGTTACTTGTCGAAAAATAAAATTGTGTCAGGCATCTTGTATCTTTCTGCTGTCCCTAAATAGAAACAGCTCTCTTTTTGGGAAAGCAGCTGACCAAATGTGCCTCAACCCCAACCCCACTGACATAGCTGTATTACTGTAGCTGACTGTATTTTGTCACTGGACCAAAACTTATTAACGAAGAAGGTATGTTTGCTTCACAAATTTTAACAGGAATTCTATAATATTATAGCCGATTCCCCCTCCCATCCAACGGACCCAAGTTCACCCAAGGACACTTCTGCAATTCTGAACCCGTTTTGACTCACAACTACACTACAGGCAAATTTTCTGAGGGCGTGTCAAAGTCAATTTTGTATTTGCAATGTATCCTAGTTATACCGCATTTCAGGGGGGGGGGGGGGGATGACCGAATGGTGCAAGTTATTTGTTTGATTTGTTGAATGAATATACATGTAGTTACTTTGGATACTCCTGCTTATTTATTCCAGGACACAAGTATTTGACAGCGTCAAACATATGCCGTGGCTCGACTAAGCAATGTACTCTTATCATGTTCCATACAGTCTGAAATTCAAAGAACAGAACCCCCTAGATCCTTCATTGGACTTTCAGCTATGTTAGAGCAAAGTTTTCTTGTGGGTTAGATCGTGAAAAGTGCATCAGATAAAAAAAGAAAATTCCGTGAACATTCTAGAGGGGACAGCATAAAAACAATAATAATATTGTATGACTTTAGTTTATTTGTTGAGCTTTCAGAATAAAAGTATAGCTGTCGTTTAACATATAAGAAGAAATTAAATAAAATGAATAAGGTTTAAAGTCCTACTACAATATAAGCTTTTGTCGATCTCTAGGCTTCAGTGTGCTTGGAACCCTGATTAAAATGTACATCTATATTTCGTTTCGTTTTTTTTATACTTTCGATGGCCTACACTACATGAAGATCTGACCGGTTGTAGCGATAGGTCGCGTCAGAGGTCATACGTGCGGCTTTTGACCAATGACGTCAAACATTTGATCAATCAATCAATCAACATTGATGTTACTAGTGGATTACCCACAATTCCGTGCAAAAGACGCCTAAATCTCGCCGTAACAGACCGTTTGGTTAATAGCTCACATCATTCAAAACACGTCAATGATAACAATTCTTCCAGATCCTAGTGTAGTCAAGACAAGTAAAACGAATATTTGAACTATAAAAACGAAACGATATAGGATCTGTGTTTTAATCAGATTGGCTTGGAACCCAGATCCCCTCTCAGAAGTATTATCAGTGAACTGAAAATCGTCCGTGTAACTATTCTCTCTCGCTATTTCAGTCGGCAACGATGAATTATTTCCTCCAGGATTCGTCTAATCGTTGTTATGAATTGATTATGTAACTTCCTCCCGGATCCATCAAATCGTCATTACGGATTCCTCCTAAATCTATCAAAACGTTGATTAGGAACCACTGTGCCTCGGTGTGATCCTGGGTCCGGTGTTCGATTCTGGTCTTGGCCGAGAAAGTTCCTCGAGATTTTCCATCGAGGTGTATGTCCGTCTTTTTTTTAATCCCGGTTGGTGGAGAAAAGTAAGACGTTAAACACTATTTCGTGTCATTTTCAACCTTGACCTTTAAAACAGAATGCCACTATGAACAAAAGAGTTTGATTTAAACATTTAAAAGTCGTAGTCGCTGGGTCGGATTTACTAATAGGCAAAGTAGGCCATTGACCTAGGGCCAACGGGTATCTGGAGGGCCCACTGAAACAAATTTGTCGCAAAGCTTGTCAAAGTATCACCTTGTTTCAGATGTACACTGGGTATTTTATTATATAATATATTCAAAATCATAAGAGCCTAAAACATTTTGGGACCCACTGATGAATTTGGCGCAGGGTCCAGAAGTAGGTGAATCCGGTCCTGCGTAGACGGCTCCCCTACTGAAGTGATATTACAAAAGTACACAAACATTAAAATCTATATGTAACAGGTATTATACCAGGACTCATTCACGACGCTGGTAACAATTTATCTGTCGGTTTTGTTTCTTTTTGTTATACCGGCAAAACTGCGTATGCGTTGTCATTAGCTTATGTCGACTCCCCAGCTACTGGAGTGAGAGCTTCCCCATTCGGTTCACTTGTAGCTTGATTCGTAGCTTCACCATTAGTTTCACCAGTAGCTTGATTCGTAGCTCCGCCATTAGTTTCATTAATTGCTCGTTTCGACGCTTCATCAACAGTGACCCCATGCAATGCACCTTCTTCCGAGGTTGCTTCTTCTGACTTTCGTGGTTTGTCCATTACCAGGCGCAAATACAGCACAGCTAAGAAGATTCCCAACACCGTACCCCCAAGAGCGGCGAAGATGATGTAGTACATTTCTTCTTTTTCCAGACGACAATGGCATTTCTCCTTTAA